TAAACCAACACTCTATCTTAAAAGAGACAGAAGAAGGAAAAAAAAATGACAAGTGGGCAGAAGTCTCAAAATAAATGTCTACTGTGTTTAAGTCTTAATAATTAATCCCTGAAATTAGAAGGAACTTTTGGGATATTAGGTAATATATCTGATCTCTCTCTCTCTCTCTCTCTCACACACACACACACACACACACACACACACTCTTCCTGCAAAGTTCAGCATGCCCTTCACTGACAGCTCTTCCTTTCTAAAACCATGCTTCATGTTTCATTTCTAGAAAAGCTCCTCTGAGTACTAAAAATGAGCTATAGCAACACTGTGTTTTATCTAAGATTATACTACTGAGGAAAATGACATTCTATTCATTATTTTGTACATGAATTACCATATTTTAATGGAACAATTATCTATTCCCTGTGTCTTTCCTGTTAAAATTATGATTGCAGTACCTTTATTTCTCTTTGTAAAAAGTAAGCAAAAAAAAAATTAGACAGTAACACAGATATTTTTAATAATATATGACTATTACTGAAAATAAAATATCTACCTGAATGAGAATCAGGTTCTTCTGCAGATTTATGAATCAGACACAATCCTTTTATTTCCTTCATGAAAACAGTGCTTACATTAGTGCAATCCAAAGCAAAAATTTCATGCTCCACTGGTGTTGATAAACAACAATTCTTTATTCAAATATTCCTTTGAAGGGTGGAGGGTGCTCATTTGCTCTCACATTTTCCAAAGACCAGCTCCCAACTTAGACTACTAGCTATTTAAATCAACAAAAGGTTTGACCAAAAGGTGTGAGTCATTCAAACCCTGATGGTGATAATGCATATTACTTCAGTTACAAAAATAATATGGTAATGTAAATGTAATGACAACCAAATACTTTCTTACAGTTCAACTTTATTAGTGTATACCTGTTGCTCAACATATCCTTCACTAACTCAAAATTTTACACTATAGTCATTAAATGACTAATTTGTACACACGCATGAATGAAATCAGAGAGCAAATGCATGCATTCTTACATAGAGAGTGTTCACAAAAAATCTAAATTTATTAAAACATCAATGTCTGTCAATAAAAGGATGATCCTACTGAGAGCATAAATTCGAAAAAAAAAAAAAAAGCCAAAGGTAGCTCCTGGAAATTAACCTAATTCATGAGTATCATTTAAAAATATTTCATTTCCCTTGTCTGAGACTTAACAATAACACAAAAAGCATTTTCCTTTTCCTCTGATTGAACATCAATGCAGTATCACCTCAAGGAAACATAATTGCTGCAAATGCTAAACTTCCATTACTGTTCAGTTTCTGCAGCATGCAACTTTGAAAATGATTACCTGATTTATGAAAATCCAGTCAAAAGTTGGTGCTGTAGCATAGCAAGTAAGGCTGCTGCTAGTGGCACCAGCATTGAATATGGCACTGATTCAAATCCCAGCTACTCCAGTCCAACTCATTTGCCTGTGAATACATTGGTGAGAGCAGCAGAGGATGGGCCAAGTGCTCAGGCCCTGGCACCTACACAGGACACCTGGAAGAAGCTCCTCAGCTCCAGGCTTCAAAGTGGCCCAGGTCTGGCCATTGCAGCCATCTGGGGAGTAAGCTAGCAGATTACTCTCCCTTTTCTCACTCATTCTCTCTTTTTGTAACTCTTTATAAACATTTTTTTTTAATAAAATTTTTTTAAAAGGAAAAGAATTAATCTAGACCCTAACTAGATATTGTGTTAGCTAACATCCGCACCATCTCAGATAAAATTATTTGAAAATACAAAGGCAGCCGACTTACCTACCTATCCACACTCATGTACACATTTCTGCAGTTTAATTGGACAGATTGCACAATGACATAAAATTGAATGGTGGAGAGAGGAAAGGCAAAGGCAGTCATTTTCTTTTTTAGTGGAAATCTACTGTTTTCCACAGTAACAAGCTGCCACTGCAATCAAGTTCCATTGACAGCACACTGACATAATGTGGCTACTAATTCCTCTGAACTAAACCATAAAAAAATAAATAAATGAAGGTTCACATGAAACTCAGTGCCCACCTGACACTATTGGCTTGCTCCCTAGACTGTCGGTCAGCTTTCCTAAGTCCTGCTGCAAGAGCTACATATTCCTACGCAGACTATCATGTAAAGGTCTATCTTTAAGAAAAATAATAGATGCATAATTTTATTTATGAGGTGATAGTTTCCTTCCACAAATATCAAAATAGATACCATTAAAGTGGAGAGGAAAATATGAAATCTTTCTGTAAGGATTTATTTAAGATCATTTGTGGTAGATTGGGAAGCAGCCCTTTACATTTAATCAGGTAAGAAAACTATCAATAGAGGTAAGATATTTTCAAGTTCATGGTCAGGAAAACATTTGTTAAAACGTCCTGGCTATTTGGGAATAAACACAACTAGTGATATATATATTTTGCAGAGACAGTAATTATTCACTTGTTTTTATATATTTCCCAACATCAATCTTTTTCCAGATTTAGTGTTAACTTCTGTATTTTTAGCATCAAATATGAATGTAGGTAAGTTTTGGTAAATAGACCTTGACAGAAAAAAAGCCCTACAAATAATCTTCCTCTTATGTTAGGAACATTTTCTAATGCTCTAAGCATTCACTTTATAGTTCATTTTACAAAGAATATAGAAACCTCATCTTCCCAAAGATCAATTCTCGTGATATAATCCAGTAGGATTTATCAGGATAAAAAAATATGTACAATACCAAGCACTGCCCTTCAGCTGTAGACATTCACTTGAACCTAAAGACTAGAACCATTTTTAGAAAGCAAGCCTAATTTTTGCAAATGAATTTCATCAATTTTTAACCTAGATTTTATGTTCCCTCTCAAATGCTCATAAAGTACAGACAGTGGAAAATAATGAGCCACATGGGTTGATGTAAATCATGTAAGTAAGGGAGTGCTAGCTGACCATTTACACGCCGAGGCTACCAGGCCATTCCCAGGGTCACAGGACAAAGGCTCTGTGCGGAGGGGATCAGAGTTCAGATAATCCACACGCTCACAGCTGTGCATGAAGCCATTCCTCAAAAGCAGCGGCAGGACGGATTTACTTTTCATGTTTTCTAAAATATGTATTTTAAAACTTAAGATGAGAATTTATTTCTCAAAGTTAACCTAGACGGAGATAAAGAACAAATAAGGGGCTAGTGTTGTGACATAGAAAATAAAGCTGCAGCCTAGGAAAGTGGCATGCGATACGGGCTCCAATTTGAGCTTCCATTATTCCACTTCCAATCTAGATGTCTGCTAATGTGTCTGGAAATAAAGCAGATGTTGGCCCAAATGTTTGGATCCCTGTGAGAGGTGGCATGGAGCACCTGGCTTCTACTTGACCCAGCTCTGGCCTTTGCAGTCATTTGAGAAAAGCATGAGCTGGTGAACACTCTCAGTCTCTTTGTTCTCTGTATCTATGCCTTTCAAATAAATATATCAGAAAAAAAAACCTAAAAAAAGAAATAACTGAGTGAACAAACTGCATATATGAGTGGATCTTCAAAAGATTCACGACAAACAACGAATTGTAAAAAAGCGTATTAAGCACTTCAAAAAATGCTCACACATAGAAAACTTAAGCTAGCTTATTATGTTTGAGAAGAACTGGAGTACTAAGAAGGATAGACTATGAATTTGAAAGGACCCTGTATTAGTACAATGTGAATTCGTCTAAACTGAAACAAGAACAAACATTTAACTTCTGATGAAGCCTGGGCAGAAAGACAGTGAAATAATTGAGGTTTTATGAAAAGATTATGGAGAACACAGTCCAGAACAATCAGCAGTTTGTGGATGAACTCATCTTAAGAAGGGGATGGGACAATGTTCAAAATAAAGCCCATAGCAACTTATCATTAATCTTGTTCATGTGCTAATGGACAAGGGCTAACAGCTGACAACCAAACTAACCATCAGGATCATAAATATCTCAACTGACTTACATGATTTGACTGAAAGGGCCAACACTGTTTCACTAGCGTCCCTGCTCACTGCTCTCTAAACAAGAGCAATTCTGTAAGAATTATGAAGAGAAATCATTAAGCATCTCTGCTGCAGTCTTGATGAATCGTTTCTAACTTGTTTTCTCATCTTTAAGTCCTTTAGTTAATGCACAGTAGACAACATACACATGATAAGATTAAGCGAATCCTGAGTCCTTAGAGATGTACTAAATCACCTAGTAAATTGTGTTCAGCTTGATGGAGTTTTGATAAAAAATATTTTTCATTTTTCATTTTTTTGTGTGTTTCTGGAATGGAGAGGGAGCATCTGTTGGGAGTGAGTTTTGCCCCCATCCCCTCCCCACATTCCCACCCTGCACAAAACACCTGCTGCCTCAGCTCTATCTCCTCTGGGGCAGGTCATTTTTAATCTTTTAATTATACTTTCCAGATACTTTTCAAGTTCCTCTGTTTCAGAGAAAATAATTTATGTGCTTTGAATGCTAAACAGAAAAGGTTACATTTTATGCAATCCAAGAAGTTTGACAAAGAATACTATGAGAGGAACAAAGCTGCAGAAACACTCTCAGGGCTGATGAAACCGGGCTGTATGAAAATGTGTGAGAGCAGATTTGAGAGACGGAATATTTACATTAAGGCAAGTAAGAATGCCAATGCCACAGCTCAAAGGCAAGCGGAGTATTAAAGGCTCAATGAATTCAACATATAGTTCAAAAGAAAACCTGCGATGTAATACCTCATTGAACAGAGGAAACAAGACAAAGAAACTGTTAGTACTTCAGACCTAGGAATCAAGCAAATTGCGGCACTAACATCACTCATATACACACGGCAAACAATATAACACTAGAACAGGTACTTATTTTTACTAAAATCAGGACCTCCTGCATCTTGAGTTTGCACCTGCTGGCCATAGTCAGGCTTCCCTCTGATCCTTGCCATGCTTTTGAGCATTTCTGCAACGACTCTGTACATGTCTGGACAAAACTTACCGGTTTGCCACCAGTGATCTAGGACAGGCACCCGGAAGACCTTTTTGGACCACTCCAGAGTCTCCACATCACATCGTTCTCCAGCTACAAAGAGTGTTTTGAACCTAAACGTAAGAGACAGTAAATGAAAACTATCCTTTCGAATCATTGTCATCTCAAATTTTTAAATGCTGTGAAATACGCAAATAATATCAGAGGAAAGTAGCCCTATTGCTGATGTATCATTACGCAGAATGGTTAAAGATATCACTTACTTGAGCCCAAATGTAACCAAATGCACATGATGGAGCTAGAGTAATATGTTTCAAAAATTAAACAACTCAGAAAATCAGTGTTCAGAACAGCTATTTTGATCTCTATCTGCCATCATCTTCTAATGATCAAAGTAAAACTTTTCCTCCTCAATATTACCCCTAATTTTAATTCCAAGTTTGAATGCTATACTCTACCTAACAATATATGGGAAAACACACTCGTGTCAAATAAGAAAAAGTGGGGAAAGGAGGGAGAGAGAAGTATAGAGAAAAAGGGTTTTAGTTGTTTTTTGAAAAACACTCAATGCGTTATTTTTCTACATATTTTCTTGATTAAAAAAAGCTACACTATCTTCTAACATAAATACTCAGGGACTAAAATTATTTTTAGATAGGGTATTCAATGTTTGGAACACTGTAGCTACAGCCATGAACATTACCTTACTCAGTATGCTCCAATTTAAATAAAATTTGAGCCACAGTTACAAGGAATATATGCAGTATAAAAATTCTAGTGGCTAAACGAGAGAAGCCAAAATAAGTTCAAACTCATTTTAGCAATATATTTGATAAAAACCAAATTTATATATAATATTTCTGCATATAATAAAACTTACTAGTGAAACGTTTTCTTTTTCGTACAAAGTCTCAATTTGGATTTATAATAGTTTTAGAACTTAGTAGGCACATGTGACTTGAGGCAGAATAGAGCTAGATCATGATTTTCCAAAGGGGAATACTAGTGTAGACGTAGAAAAGTTTTTATTCAACAGTTGTAACGGTTTGGAAGTATCTTCGGTGCTCCCTCTTAGTACCACAATATTAAAAGCCCAGGCCCTAGTGTGGTGAATTTGGAGGCTGTGGATGCTCTAGGAGAAACTTTCTGTGGTACATGCTTAGGTCATCCGGTCATGAGGAATTCTGCCTTCATCCACTTGAGATTATTGAAAAGGTATTCTGAGAAGAAAAAAACTGTACCCTTCTGTGCTGCCGCTCTGTCTCTTCTCCCAATAAAGGATGTGCTAACTCACTTTCACATGTACTTGTATACCCATCCTTTACCATAACACCAGAACTAAACCATGCTAACTAGCATCATGACCTTTACACCTTTACTTCTGGAGCAGTCTTCCTCAGGTATCTCATAGTGATGAACAGGTAGAAGATACAATGCCACACACAACAGCAGCAATAACTTCATCTAGTTTGGATGCACGAGCATATGTAGGCATGCAAGTATTAAATGACACTAAGAAACTTCATTATTCAATATTTTATAAATAGCTTACCATCACAACAGCTTTGAATATTAGGGGTTTACATTTAGAGTTTGGGTTGGGTTAAAATGCACATGTATATGAAAATGACAGGCAAAAATAGCATTTTAGTAGCTGCCCTGTGACATAGTTCTCAACAACACAGCCGAAATCTCCCAGGAACTTTCCTTTAACACAGTGATTATTTTTAAAAATGCACTGATAAAGACAGAGAAATCAATTATCAGGTAAGAATACATTTCTGCTCTTGCTAAGAAACCAAAAATGTGCTTATAATTACAGACTAAAAGTGGATTACCAAACATGACTGTATCTGAGAGAATTGTTTTAATAGAAAGAAATTATTGCATTACTAAAAGCAAGTTAAAATAACGAAAATTAATGCACTCTAAAAGCTCTATGATTTGAAGTCATGTAAAAACAAGATTTGAAATGCCAACACCATACTGTTAACACCAGGATTGGCAAGTCTTAACATATTTTGAATTGTATCTTACTCAAACAGTTTCCTGATGTTTTATAAAATATCTTTGATGAAGGCCTTTGTGCACTTAAAAATTTGTATTAAAATTTCTTAAGTTATTGATATCCAATATTGACAGGCAACAACTGACAGAAAAGAGTGCCACAAGTATCACAGATAACATTTGCAAAATCTCTGGGGCCGCAGGTGACTGTAAGCAACTGCAGATGGTCAGAACGTTGTGCCTCTGCTTTATGTGAGCAAATGATACTGAGGGCACAGAAGTCAAAAATGTGAAGTATTGATGACACGATGGAAAACACCATAAGTTAAAAAACATTAACCCACAGTACACACTATAAAGCTTACATTTGTTACTGTGGTTTTTTAAGCTGGCTGGCTGTTGTTTTTCTCCTTACATTTTAATTATATTAGCAATATTATGGAAGCAATTATCATGCTAACACGAATAAGCACAATGGAAAGGTATGATATTCTATTTATTGGAAGCATAGGAAATATTGTAAACTCATTAGCAGTTTAGAAAAGCATCAACATAATGCAGATTGTTCTGTTCCATAAATATGCTAGAAACTAACAAGCTATTTGTTTTAGGACTCTGCATAAAAACATTGATTTTTTAAAATCAATTGTTGATTGTCAACTGTGTAGCATTAATAAAGCTTATATTTTGGAATAAAACTTAACTATGCAACAACTTTAACTCCTATAACAAATATTTAAGCAAATGTACTTAACACTGAATTCCTCTTAGTGAACAAAATCATGCTAGGTAATGTGCTGTAAGCAGACTGGTTATCTCAATTACTGAAGTATAGCTTCAAATCAATTAAATCCTTAATTGTACATAAGTGATATTCTCACATAATACTTTATACCAAAATATGAGGAAGCCTGCTGGAAGGTAACTATCCAATCTCAAAACAGGTAAACAGTGTTCTAACAATATAAACGGATACAAAATTGTATAACCAAATACACAACAGGGAAAAAAAAAGACCTTAGGGAAAAAATTACAGAAAATCAGATAGTCTCATTATCAGACATAAACTTTAAATAACTCTAATGTATGTGCTTATGAAAATACATATATGACATTACCAGGTAGCCAAAAATTCTTCAATAATAATGTCAAACTGAAGTTTTTTTAACTGAAAAGTACCCCCAAAAAATAAACTTGCAAAGTCAGTGAAAGACTAGACTCAATTGAAAATATTTGCTACCCAAAATATGAGTTAGAAGAAAACCCACCAAATGCCAACTGGAAAGCAAAAGGATAAAAAATTTAAAGTGATCTAGTAGATGCCAATGGTACTATAAAAAAAAGCTATAAAATGTAATAAGCATCAAGTTTAAAGAACCAGAAGCAGTATTTGAAGATTAACAAATGAAAACATTTAAAAATAGATTTAAAAAGACCAATACAAAAAACAATTTGAATTATAAGGTACTGAACTCATTATACTTGCCCACAATGCAAACTCCAGGACCATAAAATTTTCTTGGTAAATGTTACAAAGAATTCATTTAAATACAATTAATTTTAGAAAAATTCTTTCAGATAATAAGGGAATAAGATTTTCCAGCTATGTTTTTTTAACATCACCACAAACACAAAACGAAAACCAATGATAATACAATCATACATTCTGGTGAAAACAGGAAAACTCTAGAATAATCATAAATTGCTAATATGTAAATTATTTTTAAAGATTTATTTGAAAGGCAGAGTTAACCAGAGACAGAGAAAGCTTCCAGCCATATATTTTCTTCCAAAAGGGCTACAACATTCCCTGCTCCAGTGCCTCAGTGGTACAGAAGGATGGCCCAGGTGCTTGGGCCCCTGTACCAGTACAGTGGCCTTCCCTCACTATTTCTGCTTAAGGTATACATTATTCATTATATATATATATACATATATACATATATATACACACACATTATAAGTCTACATTATATAATTATAATATATGTATACTTTCATATATATATATGAAAGTCTTTTTAAAGACAATAATGTAGACTTGCAATCACAAATAGTATTTTAAGAAATATAAAACCTGCCATACACCTAAAGTGAGATCAGTTTCATGGCTTACCAATTTACTGGAGATGCATATATCAATCTTAAAATTTTGTATTTATTAAACAGCACTTTCCAAGATGTTTATCAAGACTACCACAGAAAGATACACTGAATATCTTTTTAAAGTAAATGGAAGATGTGTAACATTTTAACTGTTAAGTATAATTTATTTCCCTTTAGCAGTCTTATCCTCACATGTATCTGCCAGTAAACTCGTGCTTTCAATTTTCAACCCTGGTTTCTACATCTGCACTGCAACACTTTCATATTCATGTGTCTAATTTCCTCAGCCCTGTCAGTGTTAGCCCAGGGTCACAGAAACCTCAATTGTTCTCCCATATTATCAGTCTCAACTTGCTTTCTATTTAATAAAAAGAACTTCTCCCTAGGCTGAAGTTTTTATTCTAGCAATGGAGGGAAAAAATGAAAACCAAACATTTTGTTGTTTTGAAGCATAATACTGGCACAGAGGTCATATTTCTCTAAGTTCTAAAAGTTATTGAACTTTACTTTTTCGAAGAATGGTAATTGGCAGGAATCTAAAAATGGCTTAGTAATAAGAACTAGATGCTTCAATTTCTCACACGCAGCTCTACGACATTCCAAAGGCAGCCAAACAGTCGCTCCAGCGCTCACAGGAGCACATTCAGAGCTTTGATGATGGAAATGGTAGTACTTTCTCAAGATGCTTTGGCTTTGTAGATGCTCTCATTTGTGCGAACCTTCACAGTCACAGCTACTGAAACAGAAAAGTTACTTCTTTGGCTGTCAGCATCTATGTTAAAATGGATGTGTGTGTTCATGCACTCACTCCTCCCTCACTCACAAATCCATATGCCCTTTGATTTATCAGCATGATTTATCTTGTCTCGATTCAAATGTGCATGTAGAAAAAGAGGAAGTTTCTCTCATGAAATGTTTAACTTCTCCAGAAAACTTACAAGGGTGGAGAGCAATATAATGAACTTGTATGTACACAATTTGCAGTTTCATGACTGCAAAA